TATATTTATAAACAACAGAAGGAAAAGAGAATCCACTTATCTGATAAAGAATCAATAATAGGTTGAGCAATCAAAAAAAAAAAGTTTCACCAGACAGTTTTTGGGGAAAGGGAGAGGGAGAGCTAGCTCTCTGGATAAACCTGACCAGAGGACACAGGAAGGTCTGGACTCCACAAGTCTGTGTGGTGACAAAGCATTAAGTCTTCACATTCTGATCTCTCCCTCATTTATCCCATCATTCCTCTTAACTTGGGGTGGATCATGAGATTCGACAATGGGCTGACTCATGAATTGCATGGTGGAGGGCTGGCTGTATTCTGTTTGGTGTCAAGCCATTTAACCCTATATTGGACCCAACTATTGTAGGTGGATAGGGGGAGTCTGTCATCAGCCCCTTTAATATTCAAGTTAAAGTTGAAGCCTGCTGCTTTAAATCACGTGTGTCTATATGTTTATTCTTCTGCCTATCCAGTCCAGAATAACAGCACCCAAACCAGACATCACATGAGATTGTACACTTAACAGCAGACAGTAGTAATGAAGAGATTTAAAGCCATTTGTACACACCAATTTTTTTTTGAGAAGTGAATTTTGAATCAAAGAATCTCATATACTCTTAATTTAAGGAAAACAGACTGTTGTAACAGGTATATTCAAAAGTAAAATATATAGGATCACAACAGAGGATATCAACTGGAAGGAAACAATTTCTCTTAGCAAGACACTGGGGTGCAACAAAGAACATCTAAGGGATCAGTAAAGGGAAATATACCTGCCTACTTCCTAATTACTATGGTCTCTACTTTCCATACCATTTGAAGATTCTGGAAATCAAATTACCAGGTTTCCTTCATAAGGCAGATCTGCAAGTTTGTATTCTAGCTTTTAAAGCCACAATCTGTGTTTCCCTTTACCCTGGTAAAAGAATGTGTGTTATAATTACCAAAGTAAAGTTTCACGCTCTTCACAAAGTCTCTTCTTGCTACAGGTTTTGTTTGGCTCCAGTCAGGATTTATAAACATCTACCTTTAAATTGACAGCCCATAGCTATACAATGGTGTTTAGTTTTTCAACTCTCACACTGGATTCTGGAAACCTATGCAGGACATTTACATATTTCAGGACTACTTCAGGTATGGTACAGGAGAAAAATACAGAAGAACATAAAATACAGGATATACAACCGCAGCAAAGGACCTAACTCCAAATCACAGCTTAAAATGGAATCAGAGTTAACAGGCAGAGTGTATAGAAGGATACAAATTAAAAGGTCCCAAAATAATAGAGCATTTTGCTGTCAAAATGCTGTCTAATAGAACACTTTAGACCGAACACTTTTTAAGATAAAAGAACAGAGGAAATTAATATAGTAAATACCTTGGTAACCACTTGTGCTGAAAACCAGTGCCAGACTCTGCAATGCTTTTCCTATCTTCTGATATTCTTTGGGTAATGCTGAAGAAATGTAAAACAGTGTTCTTTCATTTCCACTGAATTATGTAGCATTTCTGGTACTAAACAGCTATTCAATATTAAACATTTAATTTTGGGAAAAAATGTTCAAGTCCCCATAAGTCATATGTATGCATTACCTTTTACGAATATTTTTGTAACTGCAACCATTTAAAAGAGATAAAATATTTTGCCTTAACTTAGTCCTTCTATAGTTAGCTCAAAGAGACACAATAATATCTGTACATAGGGTAGGTAGTATTGTGCAGCCATACCTGAATAAAGTGTCCATTCCAAAACTCATGCATATTAAGCCATATTATCACTTATTTTAAAATACATAAAGTACACACATGATATACACACCAAATAAGAAAGAATCTGTCTCTGTATATACCATCTGGATATCTGTCTATGTATATAATGAACTTCATACTGTGAAGAATGTCTTTCTTAATATCACATAAGAAACACACACTCACACTCTTATTTCCTCTCCCACCCACACCTCTATTTGGCAGAGGGATGTATATTTTTCTGACGACTGTGCCATTGGACTTTGAGGAAAAAACTGAAAAGGTCACAATGTCTATGTTTTCTTATCAAAAGCAACAAATGTTTAAAAAGCTTGATTCAGGTGAAATATTCTCCACCATAGAAGCTTAAAAGCATTCCTCCATTTCCTCTGTGAAGAAACCAGGATATTTTGTGTTTAAATGAACTCCTAAACTGAGGGAGGTAGTCACCTTACTCCTAATTCATATAGCCTATACAAATGCATCCCAGGAATACAGTGAGGGTTTTTTTTGGGGGGAGGGGGGGGGGGGGGGGGAGAGAAGAAGAGAGAGAAGTGAGCCATAGTTCCCTTTTAAAAATAATTTTGTTTCAGTGAAACATCCCTGACCTGGAGTTAGGAACATGAAGACAACCTTTTATACTAAGAAACTATATTAGCTGCAGTGTTGTAGGTCTCCATAGAGTTCTTTAAATAAAAAAACACCCCCTCTTAAAAAGATGGCCATTAAGGTTTCCAAATTCAATACTTAAAATAGGAACTAATAATATTGTATACAATTATAAGGCTCATAAAGTGCTCTGGTAAGTGGATAATACAATTTGGTGTTTGAAAATGTCTGCACAGACATACATGTACAAATTACGTCTTCACAATGAGGTTAGAATAGTAATGATTTATGACTGATTTTTTTTTTGCCTGTGTGAACTGTCCATTTTAGAGATTACTTCAGCTCTATAGTATATGAATTATGCATGTTGCTTATGTAAAATTTCAATTACAGAAAAAAAACTGAGGTATGTTTGCTATTTCATTTTTGTTTTTAATTATCAATATTTGGGGAAGTATATGTGTAGCTAGAAGAGGGACTAAACAGTTGTTAATTGCTTGACATTTTAGTATTGAGACCAAGGTAAATGCCTTTTGATACCATGCAGTAGATCTCTCTAGATCTCTCTTAGAATACCCTTTTTGATAGAAATCTTGCTAAGAATTGTTTAGTGCATCACATTTTCATTTTTATTTCTTGTGATTGGCATTTCCTATGCATTGTGTACCATTCCCTAAGTATTGCGTACTATTCATAATGCTCTGCCTCCGTACACCCCATTAATCCAGTACTCCAACCTCAATTTTTCCAGTGTGCTGGGATATTGGAATTCAGTTTTGAGACCTATACAATCCTCCACAATGCCAGTCTAAATTCATAATGAAGTGGCACTCCAGAGAAAATGTGTGTTTCCAATATTTCATTCGATCACCATAATGTCATTGAAAATACATTATGAAAGTAAATAGTGAATAAATTGTAAAAGGTCTAAAGGGTTACCCCCAAAACTTGTGGGTAAGCTGGGTTCAGATAACTATGGAATCCCTGAAACTGCAACTCCTGTGGTACTCCAACTCTGTAAGAATAGGCCTGCACTGCATTCAAGCAAGAAGAGGAGCTGGGGACTGCCAGGACAACAGAAGAACAAGGCATGGAGAAAGAACCAGTCCCATACCTTTTCTCCTCCTTTTTCATCCATGATACTAAAGGAGGAGGTAAGGGTGAAAAGCGGCAGCAAATTTGTGTGTTTTAGTTCATGCAGTTCCTGAGTACATGATGTCCCGTTTTTGATATAAACAGTCCCATATTAAAGCCTAAGTTTCCCTACTCTTTTTAAAAATGGGCAAATTGTCCTGTATTTTCTGTGTCTTTCCTCCCATCAGTGCTGGTGAGTCCTACTGCTGGCCGGATCCATGTTCGCCAGCCACTTACAAGCAGTGAGGGGGTGGGGCGTGTTCAGCAACAAAGCTGCAGTGTGTGGGGTGGGATTAGGGATGTAAGCGACTAGTTGACTATCCGATAAGCATAAGCTCATTGGATAGACGAGTAGTGACACAGCTAGTTGCTTCCCCTTCTTGTCTATCAGAGACAGCAAGGATGAGGGAGCAGGAGCCGGTGTTGAGGAGAGCCGGCTTAAAATCCTGTTCCCTCCAGCACCAACTCTGCAGGGGAAGCAGAGGCATAGAGGGGGACTGGGTACGCACTGGAAATCAGCTGATTCCTAGCTTGCACCCAGTCCCAGATGCTGCGCCTCTGCTTTTTAAATGTATTAAAAGCCACCAGACTCTCAATACATTTAAAAGGCTGAAGCACAGCAGGAGGGACTGGGCATGAGCCAGGACAGCTGATTCCCAGCTCCCGCGCAAGTACCCCTCCCCCCCGTGCTTCTGCTTTTCAACTGCATTAAGAGCCACCAGTTCATTTAAAAATCAGAACTGCTCCAGGGTTTACTCCCAGGGCCAGGAGCAAACCCTACTGTGGCTCTGCAGTCTCCACCCTTATTGACTAATCGATGGAAATTCCATTGTCTAGTCAATTCGTTGATTTAACAGAATTTAACATCCCTAAGCTGCACCCCCTGCTGGTCCATCAGTGAAATCCCTGCTGAGTGCCAGTTCTTGGCTAGCAGGCTTTCCCCTCCACCCTGTTTCCAACCAGCACTGATTGCTTGCTATGGTGGCTGGTGAGTATGGGCTAGTTATGTACATGGTGTCTGGTTATGTACATGGTGACCATATTTTCCAAACCAAAAGTGAGGACACATGATATACGACCTCTACCATCAATCAAGTGTTGGCCATGCCCCTTGACCTCATCAGCCATGCCCTGACACCTTAGGCCCTGCTCATCTGCCACAGGAAGTCCCATCCTTGGGGTAGTACTTCCAGGGTCAAGATGGACACATGCCTGGAAGAAAAAGGTGTCATGTGACCCCTCTAAGAACTCTTTTCACCACCCTGTACCAATCCGGAGGGGTTTGGGATGCAGAGGACTGGCCCATTGCCGCTTGAGAGAGACCATCAGGGTGTCGGCAGGCAGTGAGCAAGCAGGCTGGAGGTGCAGTGTCTCAGTGGAGGCGCTGAATGAGCAGGTTGGGCTGCAGAGTGTCAGCAAGGCAGTGAGCGAGCGGGCTGGGAGCGGGGTATCAGCAGGGTGGTGAGTGAGCAGGCTGGGGATGTGAGGGTCTTGGTACGGGGAGGGAAGGGGTGTCACTTACTTGCTTTAGTGCCACTTTCAAGTATGCATGGCTTCCCACTGCTCCCATTGGCTAGATTTGTGCACTGTCCTTTCTCTTCCTCCAGCTGGGACGCACTTCCTGGAGACTTTGCTCCCATTGGCCAGATACTGTGAAGTGGATTTCCCCAGCTGGGGGAAGGGAAGTGGCAGTGTGTGGAGCCTTGGGGCTCTCACCCCAAATCCCCCACCAAAATATTGGCATTTCTGGGCCATTTCAGTGCTTTATGGGGACAACAGGACAGAGTATTTAAAATGAGAACTGTCCCAGAAAATCTGGAACACTTCTGTCTCACCTCTACTTCCCTCCCATCAGCCTTTTACATGCTTCCCCTTCTCTGTCCTCTCCCTGCTGTGCCCATTCATTCAACACCCAACTCCACTGTTCCTTCATGCTCCCTCCTCCCCCCAACCCTCCGTGTGGTACATCCCACTCCTGACAATGTGGAGAGAACTATCCCCAGTTGGATCATCCATGTCACCAACAGACTGGCTGCCAGGTTTCTTCCTCCCCCCACTGCCTCTGGCTGGGCTGGCACTGAAGGAAAGCTCAAGACTCTCTGGCCCAGGACACTGGCCAAGCCCTGCATGAGCCCCACACAGGGATGGCAGGGGGAAGCTTCTCTGCCCCATAGCTAAGCTCTGGAGTGGCTGGTAGGAGCCACTTGGCACCCTCTTTACACACCACCCCTGCCCTAAGTCCTACTCCCAAGGAGCACGGGGCTAGTCTATCCCCTAGGCTCCCTCCTCCCCAAACCACCTCTCTGGCTGGGTTTGCTGAAGCTCCTGCAGTCAGGTTCCTTAGGCCCTGGTGCTCTAAGCAGTCTTAGGATTTAACCCCTTCCTGACTACACTGTAGCCCAGGTGACAGTCACAGGAGGCAGCTGGGTTATGTCCATGGCCAGCTATCTTTTTTAGTATTGTATGTCTTCCTAGTAATTTTTAGTATATAGTTTCATCATAACCTACAATGTTCTCAAATTCAGTAGATTTAAATGCATTTCAAATTTAAATAATAAATGTGCAAAAGTATCTGAACAGCAATAAAATAGCAAGGCAGAGAGAACTTAAACTTGCAAAGTGTCCAAGTGACACTTACGTCCAGTACAACGCTTCCAGTGTTCTTGTCCCACTGTGAGCAACTCTTTAACTCCATCATCCATGGATTTGGTGAATCTGCCTACTGCATCACATTTCTGTTCTCTGTGGAAGAAGAGCAATCCCATTACACTCAGATACAGAATTGTTCCAGTTTGCTATAGTTGGCGTTTAAACTGATAAAGTGGACTTCTGAACAACTATATGAACATTATTAATGATAACACACTCATGGGCATTGTAAAAGTTAATCATGTCACAGAACTAGTAAAATATTGGGTCTGAAATCCTGGCCACACTGAAGTTAATAGCAATTTGGCCACTTACTTCAATGAGGCCAGAAATTCTCTCCAGGTCCTTAGTTTAATGCGGTTAGTTATACTTTCCATCCTTTAACAGAAGTCTGCTACTGGATTAGCATTCTTGCTCTGGAATCTTATCTTGGATAAAGAAAGGTTTACACAGCTATTTTACAACATTATCCTCTATGGTAGTCTCATATAAGAGATATACAATCATTGCTATTGTGAATTTTGAATTTTGTGAAGAAAATACACTAGCCACACATTTAATATTCTAAATGTGAAGAAATAAATATTAAAATGACAACAGATGGTATTTTCTTCAAATTATAGTACACACAAGCAGCAGTTGTATTCTATATTCATACAGACCAGTTTACAAAGGGTGAATCTGATATGAAAGGAATGTCAAAACTAGACTACCTCTTCAGGGAGAACACAAATATAGTCTCATCTGATATGCAATCTTTAACTTGAAAATGGCTAAACTATTTAGGATAAAGAGCTGCTGATGTCGCATGCAAGAAATGCAAATATTTTAAGCTCCAAAACAATTCTGCAGTGATCTCAATTTATGCATTTCTCTTTCACTTTATTAAGGGTATTTGCATTAAAGTATAAATACTTACTTATATAGCACTGTACACACAGGAATGCACTAAGTAATTAGAGTAGTTATATAAATGTCCTCACATTTTCATTAAACATTTTCCCGACTAGCCCATATTTTAGCTAGTGCCCACAAGACCATTATGATGTAGGTATAGCATCTCTGTTTTACTGAAAGCAAGTGACTGGGCCAAAATCACAGACTGGGTCAGTGGAAAAGCTGAGTCTCGACCTAAAAATATTCCTAGAGCCCATTTTTATGTTTAAATTACTTGACACTTCTCTCAAAGCAGAACCTCATCATTTTTCATGAAATGTCAATCCTTTGTTTGCGATATCACAACATATAAATAGGGAAGTTTGTGACTTTAAACAGAAAAAACAACACACACAAAAAGCCAAGATCGTATTTTCATGCCAAGTCCCAAGCACTATAGAATGTGATAACAAAAAGTAAGGCCTGCATTTCAAAAAAAGTTACTGTTTGTGCCATCCAATTAACAATAGTAGGACTATAGGCAGAAATGAGAATTACCATTGAAATACTGGTTTCAAGAATTAGAACACATCTTTAAGCTCTTTGGTGAAAGGTGATCTAAATTATTTGACCACTTAATGGGAAGGCTGACTTGTAATTTCTGAATATTTCCATATTTTATGTGCACTGTTATATTATATGTCAAAACATTCACGTTGGACAAGAGAAAACCCAACAGAGAAAGAAATATATTTACATCCCTATGGACTCTACTAAAATGCTGAAATTATGATAAATAAGTAAGATTTAATCCACATCATGAGTGAGAGAGTGACTGACTCCCTTCTGGGAAATAAATGGGCAGACGATATAGATCGTGTGTAAACAAAGAAGCTCTACTGATTTAACTTATGAATTAAATTCTAGATGCAACCCCCTTATATAAAGAAATAAGTTGTTGTAAGAGTACTTTAGATTGAATTAGTTTAAAATAGATGCCTTATTCACTTGGCAGATTTTTTACCATAGAATATCCGTTGAGATGAATGAATAGGGTTGGTTGGGAGAAGAATGGCTAATGGAAAATCAGAGTGGTAAGTCCCAGAACAAATACATTTTTCTAAGTATTTTTGAAGTTGCCCTATAACCACCTGGTTTCTTTCTACTAAAGGAGATCATTCATAACATTTGTGTGCATCAAGGCATACAAACCTACCATGTTTTATTCCTATTATTAAAAGATGTGTTGCAAATAGCATATACATAGATTTAGAAATGCATTAAAACAAAGACAAATATTAAGCTTCCTAACTTAGCAGTTATAACACTTTAGAGCTTCATCACTTCTTTCCTGACAGGAGAAATGCTATGCCTCTAGATAATATTTTTAGAAACCAATTGTCTTGGACTTTTCTTAACACAAACACACACAAAATTTATGTAGTACTAAGGGGCTTTGTATCACACTGATACTGTGTTATTAAAGCACATAATTAAGGTTGAGGATAAACAACTGGTTTTGAAATGGAAGAGACCTAAAAGTCCAAAAGAGCAGGACTGTTTTCTTGAATATCGATAAGACTCAGTGTACCACAATGGTGTTGCTTTACTCACAAAAGGCTCACTAAAAGCACTGTATATTTCAAAGTGTAGGTACGGTACGATATTGCTATTGTAAACATTTTTCATTCAGTCACATCAGTTTATCCACATATTTAGTGTCTTCACAGATGTATGGACATCATGGAAATCCATACAAACACCTATGTTCTATGGTACCTAGGGGGTGTGGCAAGCAAACCACATCTCTCTCCCGATTTTTCTTTCTAAAACAAGAATATGGGAATCAAAGGAACTGCAAAGCAAATCCAATTTATCACTCTAAGGTGCCCAAAGATTAGCTAAGAGAAGTAAGTCAGTGGGCACGGTACGTGTATTCCTTTACACTTTGAGATTTTCCCAATTTGTGATTTTTTAAAAATATCATTTTAAGTCACTTTTGCCTCATTTAATAGATTTGTGCTGGTCCTTCCCATGCTGAATGAATCAAACCTGATCTTTTCCTTTCTTCACAGGATTGTTTGTATTACTTGACAGAATTGTCTAGTTCACATGAAATTTTTTTGGATAGGTTTAGATGCTTTGGGACTGATTCAGAACTGACACAGTAAAGAACAAAATATACCATTTAACTGCAGTGCTGGCAGCCTTCAGTGGCACTATTCTGTCAATGCTCATTAACTCTGATTCAAGTAATTTGGAAAAGGAAGTCCTTTATGGCTCTGCCTTCAGTCTGGTCTTCGATCTTACATGTGAAGATCACAGTGTAATATCCTTTTATTGTATCAGAGTTCTAACAGATCTGGAGAGATTGCCACCAAATCTTAAATTATGATAACTTTATAAGAAAACTATCATTTTTCAGTTTCACTTCAATGACCTAACTGCCAAAAGCCCTTTGATGCTGCTAGTATGTATACTCATGCAAGCTTAAGATTTTGGAATACAGATAGTTCAGTAGTTTTCCATCAAGTGATAACATTTTGTAATATGACTGCTGACATGTAATTTCAGAGAAGGAAATGGCACCTTACATTTCTATCATGTCCAAGTCAGGAGCTTCAGGTTCCATAGTAGAAAAGATCATAACTCCCACAATCTCATCTTTTTCTGCCTTCCTCTTCCCAGTTTTCCACTCCTTGGAATAAAAACAATCCACACTATGCAATGAGATAATTACGGTTTATCCGTAACAGAGTAACGCATATGCTAAGCAATGAATGCAACTTCAATGTCTTGTATAAAGGTCAGAATTTAAACTTTTTTAAAAAATGCATTTCATTTTCTATATCATAGCACTAAGCTGAAAATGCAAATTATACATTGTGCAAAGATAAGTACATAGATAAGTACATACAATATTGAAACTGCTTTTACATAACCAAATTACAAAAGAAAAATGATTCGTGTATGTATCTAAATTGTTATGTTTTAAAAATATGCTCCACTATACATAGTTATACTAGAAGATTTACTTGACGTTGCTCAGGTCTTTAACTCAGTTTTTGTTTTTTTGATAAATAAAATGAAAATGTACAGTAAAACTCTATTGGTCCAGCATCTGATAGTCCGGCTCCGGCACCATCAGGAATCTGGAAGTGCTCCGGGCAGCCGGACCATTGGAGCTGCTCTGCCCCCGGCTTCCCTGATGCAGCCGCTGCTGAAACTAACCAGTAGCGGCTGAATCAGGGACGCCTGGGGCAGAGCCAGACTATTGGAAGGGGGGGGGGGAACTATGAGGGGTCTGGGATGGCATCCCCCCCACACCACCCTAGACCCCTCATAGCCCCCCCCTTCCAATAGTCCGGCATAACTGATAATCCGGCACCCCCTGGGTCCTAAAGGTGCCGGATAATCGGAAGTTTACTGTATATGCTTCATTTAAATCGTTGCTCTCGAGTGGAGCTGGGGATGAGGGGTTCAGTATGCAGCCTGCCCCAGGGATATAGGGCAACCCCAGCCCTCTCTCACCGCAGCAGCTTGGGGCTAGGAGAGAAGCACCTCTCCATGGCTGCTACAGCTGCAGTTGGCAGGAGGCAGGGGAGGGCTGAATGTTCCCCAGCTGGGACAAATCCAGGTTCGGCCGCCCCCTATCCTCCCCAGCCAAAATGAGGAATGCAGCAAATCATGCACTTCCCCCTTGCTCACTGATGAAAGAAGAACAGCCAGCAATGTCCCTGTACACATTTTTTTGGGGGGAAGGGGAGAGGAAGTGAGTTTCAGTCCTAAAGTGTACCTGGGATTTGGGGCATACCCCCAGCCAGCCCCTTTCACCTGCTTGGTGATTCCGTCTCTTTACTGTATGGTTTTATGAGACGCAATCCCATTTTCTTGGCACAACCATATTCTTTCTTTGCTTTAAGTTAATGAGAAACGGAAGCTGTATACAGGCAGTCCCCGGTTACGTACAAGATAGTGATTGTAGGTTTGTTCTTAAGTTGAATTTGTACGTAAGTCAGAACTGGTACATATTGTACCCCAGGTGTCCCCGATTCAGCCGCTGCTGAAACTGACCAGCGGCTGACTACAGGAAGCCCGAGGCACAGCTGCTTTGCCCTGGGCTTCCTGGAATCAGCCGCTGATCAGTTTCAGCAGCAGCTGACTTGGGGACACCTGGGGTAGAGCAGCTGGGGG